AATATTGTACTTACATTACAGTGTATCATCTATAGAGCAGTATAAACAAGTCATTGTCAGTATGAAATTTTAGTTTGTACTGACTTTGCTAGTGCTTTTTATGAAGCCTGTTGTAAAACTAGGCAAATATCTAAATGAGTTGATGTACCCCCTGGAAGACCTCTACGTAGCCCAGGGGTAAGCGTGCCCCTGGTTGAGAACCACTGGACTACATGATCTGGTGGTTCCTTCAAGCCTTAAACTCTGACTATATGACTAAACCTTAAATCACTGCAACCATGAAAAATTTACCCCTCTGACTCACAAAGCACTTTCAAAGTCACATTTAAAAAAAGATACTTTCACCACGAGCCTTAATGATTGAGAATGAACCCAAACAAGTTGTAGTTTAGTGACACCACAGTCATCCAGCTCTCTAACAAGTTCTCAGAAACACATTGTCCCCATTGTATGTTGATTAGGCTTTCCCAATAGACCTACGCTTATCAGCTTACTTTCATCACCTCTCCTAAAGCAAAAGTGACCCCTTGAATACTTTCAGGGCTTGTCAGCTCTGACCACTGCTCAGTTACACCTTCACCACAGCCATATTCTGCACTATAGCAAAATTCTGGAACTTGTTCTATGTGGGAATACTACAGATCCTAATTCTTTCAACGAATAATTTCCGAATCTGCAGTTCACTAGAATTGTGAATTGCAAATATCACAATCAGATATATAATTCATGCTGTAACTTGAGTAGCTAACTCAGGTAAATGACATAAATTATAAAGCACTAATACAGTGTGAATTCCACATTGTAGAGATGACTGCAGACTTTATAATTCACAATTTGCACCAACCCAGCTTGAATTTTGCAACTGTATGTATAGTTCAAAATTAATGTAGGTGAAAATTCAAACATTAAGATAAAAATGCACTTTGGAGGAGTATTTGTTCTAATAGAGCTCAAGTGCTCATATGTTTGCGGAAAGCAAATGCCAAAGGTTTGTAGATATGATCAAATCAAAATGCACTTTCAAAGCTGAATGAATATCTGAATGAATATTTTTCCCTCTGCACACACAGTTCTAGTTGTGATTGCAGCTTGTTTCCATCTAATAGCTATTCAGTTGTATATTTGGGTGGGGGAAGCGTGTTGGTCTCATTCAAAGTCCCAGTGAACAGAGGCCTTATGGCACTGATTGGCAGAGAGATGAAGAACTGAATGGGCACTATGAAAATTGATGTCTGCTGGCACCTCCTAGTGCTGAGTTGTGGTTAAAGCACATGGTCAGAGTGACATGCACTGTCTCTGCCTGGGTTATGCCTATACCCTGGAGAAATTTAGTCTTCTAGGACTACAATGCTATATCTTTCAAGCACGCGCGCACACACACACGGCAATAAAATCTGTCTCCGATTGTGTCCATTTGTATTTGGTGAGGGAAACATTACAGTGTTTTTAGCACACTCTGATCCTCAGAGTGGTTTGTTTGTTTTTTCATTTCTAACATAAATGTGAAAAATCCTAAAATAGCTCTGTCAGAACATTTTGACACTTAATGTTGTCAGAAAAATAAAACACTGCATTCTTTGATGAGAAAACTTTCTTAAAAGTCAGTCGCATTCCAGAACAGTGTCTGCGTCTCATCTCAAACAAAGACAAAGACACCCATTGCATCTGGAACCTCCAGTTCTCCTCAGAAATTCATTAGATGCACAGGTTTAAGAGTAGCAGCCGTGTTAGTCTGTATTCGCAAAAAGAAAAGGAGTACTTGTGGCACCTTAGAGACTAATCAATTTATTTGAGCATAAGCTTTCGTGAGCTACAGCTCACTTCATCGGATATATTCGATGCTTATGCTCAATTAGATGCACAGTACTCAGTGAGAGTAAAATGGTTTGGATGGGGAGGGAACATGTGACCCAATGAAAATTCTGAGCCAAGTGAGGGTTGAGGCATCTGATGTGTATGAGACATCCATTCCCATGAACATTGTCATTCACTCCTTCTTTCTGATTGGGTTGAATGAGTTAAATTCCTTTAACCAAACCCTAAAATTCCCTGAATTTTTGGAAGAAGGACTCAGCAAAAGGTCTACTTCAACTTCTGCCATCACTGACAGAATGAAGAAAGCAGCTGACAATCCTCCCTGCTGAGGGACCTGTAGAGGTTGTCAGAGCCCCATAAATGGGAGATGTTGGCCAAAGAAGGATCATTGGCTCTCTATCCTGGCAATGTGTTGATTCAGCACATCCCCTGGGCATCTTCTCCAATGAGGCTCCTATGAAGCCTGGGACATAACTGTCCCTAGAACTGCCCCAATCCAGCAGAAAATTCCATGGAAGGGTGTCAACACCCACCTGCTGAGTGAAGATCCCAGGGTTACCAGGCTGGTGAAGAGAGGTGTAAGTTAGGGCTTGGGAGAATGTAGCTCACTGCATTTATCCTCCTTCCTTGCTGATAACAATGTGCTTTGTGTTTAAAAGAAAAGTATTGATGCAATTTAACTAAGAAAAGCTTTCAGGCAAGAATAGATGCCCACAGATCATAATTACGTGGATTTCCGTTCTTAAACCCCAAACCTCTATCAGCATAAATATATGCCACCGCCCACCCCCACCCTGTGGGAAATAACTAACACCTCCCTCCTCAATTTAGAAAGCTGAGGAAACCAAAAGGTAATTGGCCTCTGAAGGACTGGTGTGCAGAGCAGGCATTCCTGAGCAGCCCCATTTGATCATCCCAGCCTCCAAGGGGGAAGAAAAGGAAACCTGCAATGTGAAGCAAGCATCTAAGTACAGTACTGCCATGCTAAGCAGGGTTTGGGAGGTACTGAGAGATGATGGTGAGCCAATGGGAAGTGAGCTGAGGTGCATTTATGTAAGAACACTAAAGAGAGATGATACAATCTTACCCAAAAGCTTTCTTTATGGCTTGTCATTAGAGACAGAGAAGGTAAATGTGGAAAAGATTTAAAGGTCACCAGGCCCATGTTCCTGTCCTATGTAGAATTATTCTCTGTGGGGCATTATACTAGTGCTCCATCCAGTCTGACAGAATTATAGGAGTACAGGAAACCTATGCAAGTGGTTCCGTTACTTGCCATTCATTCACTTTTGGGGGACTTGCAAGAGGGTGAACACAGGGAAAGGCAGGATGCAGGTAGAGAAGGTTGCAAACAGAAATAACCCTGCTGTGATCTCAGCTAAGATACGGAATCCCCTTTGTTATAACCCATTCACCTTCTCTAGCTGTACAGTGTTTTCCCAGCCAATGCTGATCTTGTGTACATCTCTAGCTCTGCAGGGACTGATGTTCACCATGCTCTCTAGCTGCAGGACACAGCTGTGTGTGTCCAAGAAGAGTTTGATGGTAAGAGGCCATTGCGATGACTGACTGGGGTGTTCAGTGCTGGAGCTAGGAAAACCACAAGCAACGCATCCCCTCCAATCATGATGAGTTTCCTTCACAGCTCCCTTTCCCCCAAACTCAAATCATTATGCACTGAAGAGTGGAAGGAAGTGCATTGCAGATCCTCTGGCTTCTATGCTTGATAGTCAAGTGCCAGATCTCAGTACCCACTAACTAAAACTAGATGCAGGTCTCCCTCCCTTCCTCTCCAGACCACTGTGCTGTCCTCAGACTCCTGCACCTTCTAAATGGCAAGCCACTGGCTAGTCCCAGGTGTGACTGGTCCCATAAAACACTGAGCCTTACAACAGTGAAAACCATCCAGCACTACTGTAAGACCACAGTCTCTTCCCTCCCAATGACGTGTTTACAACATCCACTGCTATAGAGCTCCAGAAAAATTACTGACTTGCTTATGATGGACTGGAGAGAGGCTTCAAAATGAGCAATGCCAGAGACAGCCTGGCTGCTCTGTAAATCCTCCTTCAGGAGACCAACATTTGGCTCATCACTAGGAGCACTGCTATGATATAAATAAGAGCTCACACAGCAGAGTGGTGCAGAGCCAAGACTCAGTTACAGAATGAGGGCACAGGGAGCTTAGCCTCGGAAACCCAATTTTAATCAGCAGAAGGTATTTTTAAAAACCCTTGTTAATGGCCTGGAAACCTAAAAAAGGCATTCCTGAGTGCATGAGTTACTATGCTGAGTCATTCCCCTCTCCCATCCATTGTACCTCAGAAGCCCATTGCAAGAGGACATGGATGTTTACAATAAAAATATGTCTGAGACAAACCCCCTGATGGAACCCAGTTTGGGAGAGTTCAGCTTCGGAACTGAGCCTCCAGGCTGTAGATAAAATCACCTGGGCATTACACTCTGGGAGTTAGAGCTGAGAGATGTTCATTACTATCCTCCCCAATAAACACACGACTGTGCTACGGAGGTGCTGCTTACATCCCCATCCCTCAGAGAAGAAGAGGAGTTCACACTGACATTCTGGGGAGCACTGATTTTCTCATTCCCCATATAACTCCACCACCCACTTCCCCAACCCTCTGACCGGGAGTCAAGAGGGGTGTTTTTCACACAGCACTTGCACAGAGAATCATCAGGTGCCTGATCTTCACCAGTCGACCTTATCCTGCTCCCAATCTCAAGTGCGACCTTATCCTGCTCCCAATCTCAAGTGCCCAGCAGGGTCGTGACCCCTTATCTGCTCAGAGCTCTAAGTGCAGACAGCTGTTCACAGGATCCAGAGTGGTGTTCATTTTGACCGATTGGGGTGAAACATTTAAACTGAGAAGCCCCTTCAAAAATGGTCACATGCGTATTGCACCTGCATAACCTCTTCTGTGCACACAGAAATCAAGGAATTGCACACGGTGGCAGGCATGCCATTATCTGCTGTGTGTGCGCAAATGCCAGAGCGCAGGCACAAATCCAGATTCTTCAGGTGCTCCTATTGCACCTCCTTTGGAAATTTAACCCTTCCCATGCCCTAACAGAAGAAGAAATCTGCCCTTCAATAAAAGCCCATTGACAACAGTGAACTGCTTTCAGTGGTTCGGAGTACTCTGCTGCTTCTGAGGAGCACTTACCTTAGCACGTGCGTTGATCCATTTATAGTGGTGGTGGAACAGGGAACAGTTTGCCCCAAGATGGAAGGCCTTCGGTAGCGTTCGTCCCCACAGCACAGAATGATGAGGAAGGCACGTCTGAAAGACTTGTTCAGGAAGGCATACAGGAAGGGGTTCAACCCTGAATTGATGTAGCCCAACCACAGGAAAGCTGTCCACAGCTGCTCAGGTACAGTATAGTTTATGAACGGGTCCACGATATTAGTGATAAAGAATGGGGCCCAGCACAGACAGAAGCACCCCATGATGATACACAGGGTCTTAGCAGCTTTGGTCTCAGTCTTCATACGGTGAGTGCTATGCTGGTCCGGGTGGTGCCTCCCCTCTGTAGGTGCCCCTGCACGCTGGAGGATCCGGATCTGGCGGGCATGCTCCCTGGCCGTGATGTAGATCCGATAGTAGGCCAACACCATCAAGAGGAATGGAATGTAGAAGGCCACCACTGAGCAGGTGATGGCGTAGGGTTTGTTGACCATGAATACGCAGTAGGTTGAGTTGGAAGCCTTGTTGAACTGTCTTTGTTGTATCTGAAAGAAAAAACGGACTAAGAACAAAAGAGGCTTATCACAGCTTCTCTGAGTGGTCACTGTGCCAACTCCTCCACCAGCTTTTGCTTCTGTCTATCTCTTCCTTATCTCTCTCATCTCTCCACTGTCTTTTGTACCTGTCTCATCCATTTGCTCGCTCTCTCTTATTTGCTTTCTGGGTACGTCTACAAAGCCTGGGTCTGTGGGGCCTAGATTTTTGAAACGTTTCCAAGCACACACTTGAGCATCCACACTGTGTTGCAAAAACTGGGTTTACAATGGCTGGAGCATCCACACTGCACTGAACAGACCTTTTCTATCGAGTGTGCAGCTTGACTTGCATCCACACTGCAAAATGACAGGGCTTGGGCCCAAGTCAGAGTGAGACTCTGACCCGACCCCCCCGCCCAGCAAGGTCCTAGCACCCATGTTCTGAGCTTGCTGACCCGAGTCAGACTAATTTATGTGTGGACAAAAGGGAGGGTTAGGCTCAAACCTGAGTCAGAGTCCAGGCTTAGTGTGTAGTGTAGACATATCCTGTGTGGTCATCCCCATAGAATTTGTTGCATTGCAGTTCTTAAGCCCTACTACACTGTAGTTAGTGTCACAACTCCAAACATTCCAGAGAACTTCTCAACATGGTTATCGAATATTCATTCCCTCCCTAAAATAGAGACCAAGGAATATAGATGGAAAAGAACAATCCCAGACAGGAAGCGGGGGGAAGGAAGGTAACCCATTTACTCTCTGCTATTTATACATTATGCACCTGTATCCAGTTTTAAAGCAAAGATGTCCAAAACTTTGCCCAGCCAAACTTCATGCTGGGAACAAGAAAAGAACCTGAATGAAATGCACGCTCTCTATAAAAAGAAAAGGAGTACTTGTGGCACCTTAGAGACTAACCAATTTAGTCTCTAAGGTGCCACAAGTACTCCTTTTCTTTTTGCGAATACAGACTAACACGGCTGTTACTCTGAAAGCTCTCTATAAAATAGAGCAGACTGCAGCCAGCCTCTTCTTTCTACTATGGAAGTGTGGCCCACAGAGAGTTCCTGTCCATGCGTAGTGTTCCATCTTGAGCCAAGTAGACTGCAAGTCATCTTGTGCTGCTCTACCACATTAAAGATGAGGACAGCTGCAGACTGTATCATAGAATTCAAAGGGCTGCACTTGGCCCATGGGCTACAACATAGGCACCCACTGGTGAAAGAGAAGCCATGGGAGAATGGAGGAAAGTGAAGCATGTGAGTTTGGGGGAAAGGGGAATCCTCTGGGAGAAAATTCCTGCTACAGAACAGTTGCAGCATCAACTCCAGGGATCACGAAATGCCTGTCACTAGGTGTCTATGTGAGAAGTACCTCTCCCTCTCATTTTCTCTCCTGCAGTGATTTTGACAAGACAGCGTGTGAGTAACCCCATCTTGTTCTTTAGAGCTTGGTCAGCGTCACATTGGTCTAAAGATGGTGAAAAGGGAGCTATGATGTGTTGTCACACAGTCACATCTGAGCCTCTTGGAAACCGTTATCGCATTTCCCCCGATGTTACTCCCCAGGGTGCACCCAGTAAACTGCGTGGAGGATCAATTTAAAGACAATTATGAGGAGTGGTGGGGACTGTGCTCTGGTATGTAAAGTGTCGATGGCAGAGAAATAAAAGCAGAGCCTTTTCTGAAAGGATACAAGCAGAGAAGTCAATGGAAAAAATCAATAGGAGAAGAAATGATTCCTTTAAGCATCCTTAAATGACTCCCAAGCCCCGCTAGAGGAATATTTGTGCTTATCACCCAGTCAATTCACCTGACAGAGTGCCCTTGGTATCCAAAGTGAGCCCACAAGTATTAAAATCTTCTTTCAGGGTTTCCAATTTTGTTTGCTCTGAGATTCACATACAAGGCACTAATCCCAGGCCCTCTTTAAATGGAGCGTTTTTACTCTATTGTTTTTTATTATCATTAATTCCTTCATCTACACGCTGACAGGACAGACAGTGACTTATGGCTTTTATGCCCCATGCCCAACAACAGAGGTTGTGAAAATAAAGACAAAGGGAGTGGTATAAAAACTGACTACCAACTAAATGACCCACCCAGTTGGGAAGGTTTCCCCACCCCAACTCCATCAGTGCAACATTGAAAATGGAGTGTTGGTGGGACCAGAAAAAAAAGCAAGAGAAGCATCATCCTTCTTGGCTCACTTGCTAGCACTTATGCCATCAAGCCACCCAAGGGTCTCAGTTCAAGTCCCAGCTATCCATACATGTTTAGTCCCCACAGCAAACAGACTTCACTCTTGGGCTCTCCATTGGGCAGCACTGTCACAGTCAATGGCCAAGATTTTCAAAAGTGAGTGGGGATTTGAGGCATCTCTGTGTTGGGGTGCCCAACTGGAGACACTTTCAAGGAGCTTGATTTTCAGAACGTGCTGAGCACCCATCCTCTGAAAATCAGGCCCCTTTAAGGTGTCTCAGGCTGGACACTCCAAATCACTATGTAGTTCAGAAAACATTGCCACCACAAATATCTTCCTGTTGCAGGAGAATTGCAGGTCTTTTCATTCTATGATATACCTTGAGTGGCAAGGCTATCAGTCATACAATTAGAGGGGGTCATTATAAATACAGGGAGACAAATCATCCCCTTCTGCAGGAAAACCCACAAGAAAGGGAATGTTAAATTTAAGAGTGTGCTAGGCCCATACACAGTAGATTCAGCTTGTATCGTCGAACAGCCTGGCACCCACAGCAGGCCACTGGGTGGCACTTTCAAAAGGCCACGTGACTAATAAGCACATGTGCAGCACTGGTGAGTTAACCCTTGTCTAAACTTCTGACCGAGAGATGCCACTATCTCTTGACATGCTCCTTAGGGGCCCAATCCTGAAAGGCATAGTGCAACTTCACATCCCATGGAAATCAGGACCATGATTTCTAAATACAAATGTCTCCTTCCCTAGATTTCATCCCAATCCTGCTGTTCTTACTCAAGCAGATCTCCCACTGGACCTAAAGCAAAGGCCTCATCTCCATGGCAGGCACCCTCTAGGCATTCAGCAGCACCTCTACAAAAATATCACTGAGTTTGTAATTCAACACCTCTCTCCTTCAAGTCTCTGTGGACAGTGATATTTAAAAGGGGGAGGAGAGGAGAGCACCTTTGCTGCAATCACTGAAGGCATTTCACATCAAGCAATTGGAATCATAGCTATTACTCACCAAGTCTAATATACCAATGCTATTCCAGCCTTGCATTATAGGGAGAAAAGAAATAAATGTCGGGATGGTCCAGCACCCTCCGAGCATTAGAGCAATGCGCAGTGGTGTCATCTTATTCCTGTAAACCAGAGGCTGGCAGCAGATAGCATAATACCTAAAAGGGGAAGGAGAGACACTGCTCATAAATAATGGAGATCACTCCAGGGCTTTTAAAGACAAAACAAAAATACAGTCAGTTTATCCAACCTTTTTCCTCTACTTTTTAAAAACTGAAACAATGTCTTGCTTTTTATAGCTGCTTTTCATCCAAGGGTCTCAAAGCACTTTGAAAGCATGAATGAATGAATGAAGCCTCACAATTTTCCTTTGAGGGAAGTCAATATCACTGTTTTACAGGTGGGGTAACTGAGGCACAGAGCAATGCAGTAATTTATCCAAAGTCAGAGAGCAAGATAGTGGCAGAACCTCTAATTTAGCACTGATCGCCTGATTCCTACTCTTGTACTTTAGACACTGAGCCATCTTCCTCCTCTGAATGATGATGAGGAGCTAGTTCAACTGCCTTCAGTTCAGCCATTACTGAGAGGATGATTTTTTTTTTTTAACTTCAGGACAATGGACTTGGTGTTTTTGGAGTGGTGGGGGATGGGATAGCAAAAGCAGTATATACAAATTAACAAAGCATTTCATAGTCATGAAAATGTCTTCTATAAAATGTGACCATATTTATGCGACTCCCTTGGGGTTTCCTTATTCTTAGCCCTCTTCCTGTCCACCTTTCTTCTACTAGACTCTTTCCCTGCAGCACTTAAACATACAGCTATGAGGGCAGACCCAAAGTCTGCCCTGGAAAACTGATTATTTTCCATTCTCTTCCCATCAGAGAGGTTCTCTGAGAAATTTAAGTTCTGTTCATAGCCCCACGTGCATTTAGCATTCATAATAACAACAGGATATAGCACTTTTCTTTCATAGATTTCAAAGCACTTCACAAAACAGTATAATTATTTCCCTTGCACACATGGGGAAACTGAAGCAGGAAAGGGTGCCATGCCATGCCCAAGGCCACTTAGCCGAGTGAGTAGAAGACTGACTCCCAGCCCTCTGTACAATTGACATGTCACTTGGAGTTACACATCTGCTTCAAGAGAATTTACCTGCTATCTGCCTAAAAGTATCCCCAAGGCACCATCCAGGCCTTGAACTCTAAGGCCATTTCTGAACTCAGCATGTTCATGCCCATAAACAAAGCAGTGCACCAGCCATGTTACTACACTGCAGGGTTCTGTTGGGCCTGATTCTGCAGGCTTTGCTTGGGCAATACTTGCCCTTAGTAAAAGCTCTTGTATGATATTTTTGATCCATGGTCCTGCTGGTATTTGATCAACAAATTGCCTAGGGAGGTTGTGGAATCTCCATCACTGGAGATTTTTAAAAACAGGTTAGACAAACACCTGTTAGGAATGGTCAAGTTATTATGTTGTCCTGCCTTGAGAGCAGGGGACTGGCGTAGGTGACCTCTCGAGGTCCCTTCCAGCCCTATATTTCTATGATTCTATGAATCTCAAAACATTTTACAAAGATGTACCAGGATTATCATTCCCACTTTTCAGATGGAGAGACTGAGGCACGGTGACTTGATCAACGTCATTGGCAGAGCCAGGAATAGACACTGGATCTCCTGACCCCTAGTCAAGTGTTCAATCCATGCTGCTTTGCTATAGAGGTCTCTGTAGTTTGCCGGGATTATATTTGATGGAGTAGGAGGAACAAAAGCCAAGTGGTGTCAGTATATAGATATTGGGATGTGGACTGCAAAGATATTCAGCTGACAGGGGGCAATATAACCACAATACCAAGGAAAGTCCCCAACCTGCACCTTTCACCAACAGAACAGATAAGGAGTAAATTGAATACTCAGGTGACACAACACAATGTCTTCCTTGACCATATTAAGCGAGATGAAGCAAGCACATTTGCAAAGTGACTTTTTATGTAAAGTGTTTGATATCTCTGCTCACAAAACTACATTAAAAACTCCTTTAATACATCAGCTATGCACTTCACAAACTGGAAGCATTTGCAGATGAGAACATTTTCAATTTGCTTTTTAAAGTCCCCACGGATCCAGCAGATCTGATAGCTCTTAGAAGACTGCTCCGCAGCCTGAGTTAACTAGACATATTTCTTTATTAGCCTGAACAGGGAAAAGAGGACCATCAGGGGAATACAGGAATTGCCATAACAATTCAGAGCAGTGATCAAGCTAGTTCAGCATCTTGTCACTGACAGTGAGAAGTCCAAGCTGTTTCAGAGGAAGATGCAAGAATTCCTGCAGAAGAGAATCACAGAGTATCTTGCCCACGGGGAAAGGGGAAGAGAAAGTTGACTCCTAAGTGGCAAAAGAAATGTTCAGATTGCTGCACTGCCTGACAGGATGCTACTGTGGGAGTAACCTGTTGGGGGATGTTTCTGCTCACTGACAACGAGGAGTCTCCAGGATTACAACGAGCCCTTAGCAGGTAGGAAAGACATGACCCAGCATTTGCAGAAAGCGTCTCCTCGTATCAGGGTATATTCCTAGGGTGGAGTAGTGGTGGTTTGACTGGTATATTTCACTAGAACTGGTCAGAGACACTTGGACAGAATCATATTCTGACAGAATATGCAGCTCCATCAAAATCAATACACTTCATGAAATTGGGTCAATTCTCCAGGGAGAAATGTTCGGACAATGTCCAAACATCCCATGTTGATGTTTTTGGAATGAAACATTTTGATTTTTTTGTTTTGAAATGAATTTTCATTTTAATTTTTGTATTTTGTGTTATATTTTGAAACATTTTGATTAACCAAAAGCAATTTGTTTTTATTTATTTAAAAATTTTCCTTCACAAAGAATTTTGAAATTTTGAAGCCACATTTCAAAATCTTGAAAGCCTCCACTTCCGTCCTCAGCCCAGCTCTATAGATTACTAAAGAAATAATCACTAACTGAGACCAAGGATGTATTTCTTCACTCAGAATATTGGATCATCATCAGTCAAGTTAATTATGGGTGTGGCATAATACCAGTTTGCATTTATGTCATGTCTTTAACCCAAATGCCTCAAAGCATTTTACAAAGGTGGGTAGTTATAAGTATAGTCTCCTTTTTACAAATGGAGAAACTGAGGCAACGGAGCGGAGAGGTGAGTAGTTCAGGGTCAGAGACTGAGTCACTGGCACACTCAGGAACAGACTCAAGGTAAAGCTGAGTGAAAAATGCTAAAACCAACCAAACAAAACCCTATTCCTTGAATATTTGGCTGTATTTTAAGTGAATTGTTCTGACCGTGTTTGCACCCTACTAGGAATAGGTGGGGAAAGAGCAAGTCCCTCAAAGCGCCTGATCCAAAACTCACTGAAGTCAGAGGAAAGACTCCTAATGACTTCAATGGGCTTTGGATCCGACATCCAATTGAACAGGAGACTTCTGATGGAAAATGACCTTTAAAATCACATGGAAAGGTACTGCAGGACATAAAGTTTCAGTCATGAGATTATAGACAGCTGTACTGCAACAGCCAAACTTGGCTCCTGAGCGAGACAGTAGTCCCACATGTGTAGTGCTAATTACGAGCTGGCAACGTGCCGTTTAGTGATTGTGAGTCAGTGAGACACACACACAAATGTCGAGTCACAAGTGGCAGTGCAAGAGATCCTGTCTCAAGAGTGTAACACCTGATGTACTCTTCAAATCCACGCACCTGAGTGCCATAGCTTTGCCGACCCAACCTCTTGTGTTGAATGCTTCTGTCCACCTAGCTACGGTCGCCTGGGGATGTGACGCGCCTGCAGGGATGGGAAAAATGCTGCTGTAGGCGGTGTCTACACTACTGGCTTATACCAACATAGCTACAGCACCAGAGCTATGCAGCTATATTCTCTACAGGGTAGAGATGGGTTAAATATTTACACATAGTAACTAAACTATCGGAATGCTGTATGTATTTTAATATTGAATGGGCAATTATGGTTTGGAAGCGATATTTTGAAGATCTGGCCTGCAAAAGCTCAGGAGCAGTGCTGTGTGATGCACTAAAGGTGTCTGGGAAACCATGGGATAAGAGCACTGCATTAAAGTAGTTGCCTTCAAATAAAAAAGCCATTAAAAATAGGAACAAACAATGGCTGCCGGCAAAGAGAGGTACTTTGTGTTAGGCTTGATGCTGAGATTGGCCTAATCTCTGAATGGAGGCAAGGGAAGGACACCTATGACCGTACGTGCCGACTCCATGGGTGCTCCGGGGCTGGGGCACCCACGGGAAAATATGAGTGCTGAGCACCCATCTATCAGCAGCCCCCCATCAGCTCCCCTCAACCCTATCACCACCTCCCGCCTGCCGGTGGCCCCATGGATCAGCGCTTCCCCCTCACTCCCTGAGCCTCCTGTCCCCCGCAATCAGAAGGCTGGGAGGGAGGGGGGAGGAGCGAAGACACAGCATGCTTGGGGGAGGGGGCAGAACAGGGCAGGAAGAGGCAGGGTGGCAGTGGAGCAGGGGCAGGAAATGGCGAGGCCTGGGGCAGAGCTGCAGGCCAAGCACCCCCCGGCACACTGGAAAGTCAGCTCCTGTGCCTGTGCCATCCCACTTTATGAGCGTAATAGCCTCATCCTAAAATGTGACAACAAGGAGTAGCAATGGCCAGGACACAGTGAATACTGTAACCGCTGTTCTGAGAGAGTCCCTGACTTGACTGCACAGGACACGCCAAGCCAGACTTAGAGAGCAAACATCCCATTTCTATATATTACATCCTCAATTGCACAGATAACATAAGCCATGCATGTTAAAAAGATGGTTTCCATAATGATTTCACTTGCAATAGCCGATATACTTTGTCTAATATATCCCTCTTCCAGGGTTGGATCCAATTCCCATTAATGTTAATGGAAAGAATACTAATCAGCCTGATTCTTATTTACATTTAACATCACTCTAGCAGTGTAAAGGGGCCTTAGTGTAAATGGGAATCAATCCCATTTACCTTAATGGAAGGCAGTCTTGGGCCTTTATTTGCTAGGAGCAGGTCTTGAGTTACTGCTAAGAACTGAAAAGGAGTACTTGTGGCACCTTAGAGACTAACAAATTTATTTGAGCATAAGCTTTCGTG